TGTGTGTGTGTGTGTGTGTGTGTTATACTTCTCGTAGACTGAGATGCATAAATCATTCTTTTTACACCAAGAGAATAAGTAAAAAGAATAAAATTTTTATTCCGTTAAACATTGTCATTATTTCACTTCAAAGAAGCAAAAGATTTAAAGTTACAATTATTTTCTTCTGGATCAAAAAGTCGTAATTAAAAAGTGTCACTTAATTAAAAGAAAATATCCGCTGAGATACAGAGAGATAAAAAAAAAACCGTTCACAGGACACTGGGAAAGATGTAACGCAAATTTGCGAAACACATCTTACCGCATGTAGTAATTGACGGCGATTAAACTAGCGAAATATCGTATCTCGCCGGCGCAACGCCTCGTTTGCGTCAATATTCAATAACGACGTCGCGCTTTTAATGATTATGTACGCGCGTCATGTGTGTGTGAAACTGTTTTAATGAGTTTCAACAAGCAATTTAGCGGAGCGTACACAGCGGCGAGCGCGCTAACGAACGTAGACGGCAACTTTCTTCGCTCGATGTAATGACCAAGTAAGGCAAACTTTTTCCGTCGCGAGCTACAGCTTTTGTGGTCCACCGTGCGGACACAACAATGAAAAATAGCTGAAAAGCACGAGGCAAAACCTCTGCGCCTACGCGAGTTTTAATCGACCGGGAAAGAAGGCACTTCTTGCGAAACGAAGTTGAGACATTAAACGGCGACGTGGTCGCCGGAAAAATTGCTAGGATTTATCAAATGAATCGTTTACACGTTTTGTCTAAAAAAAACGCCTTTTCATCGATTTTAAGCAGTTTTCTACAATGAGAATTTAAAGCATAAGAATTCAAGGTTTGGAGCCTTAAAGCGAAATAAGAGATTAATCGATCGCAGTAAAATATGAAAAGAATGATTGATTGGGATTGGTCAGTTTCTTACGGCTTAAAGCTTAAAACTTAAATCTTACGCTTTATACTCTCATTGTGGAACCCACTGTGAAATAGAAGAGAGATAGAACTGAGAAATAGAAGAGACAAATAAAAATCGAAAATATACGAGAAATAAGTCAAGGCGCGCATGCGATGCTAATCTAAGTATTTTAATTAATTTTCTCTGCTAATTTCATTTCTCCGTACTGCTTCTTTCGCAGATGGAGATATGACACGCGGGATAAGCAATCGGCAGAAAGTTTGAAGAGACAAATTACGGATTCAGGCATCGCGCAAGGCGCTCTCTCTCTCTCTCTCTCTCTCTCTCTCTCTCTTTCTCTGTCTCTCGCATTAAACTTACTTCTTTCGCCTCCAGGAATGTACGAATACAATGTAAATTCCTCTAAGTTATGCAGAGCCGGCTTCCTCCGATCGTTTCCGGCTGTTCGAAATTAAGAATTCTATGGAGTTCGTGCTCGATGCGATTTCAAAACTAAGATTTTAATATAAATAGTCGATAAAATTCAAATTTGTCCATGAAGGCTCCGACAGACAGATGTACGTTATTATTAAGATTTTTTTGGAATTTAGCCGAATATCAATACTACTATCTCTGTGTTACGAATAGTATTCAAATTGTGTAGGTACTTTTGAGATTGCAGCAGTTCGTAAAATTGCAAATATTCTATGTCTATTTATACAGAACGAACACGAACTTCGAGCTTCCCTCGGGGGCGTTAAAATAATTATTCCTTTTTATCGTGCAGTCGTAGACAGAAATACCTCTTTATCGAGATATCAAATACTAAAAATGAATAATGTCCGTTTTCGTGCTTAGAAACATTTTAAGAATCCATGACGGAACAAGAATGCTAATATAGTTCCTCGGAGAAAAAATGTTATATTATCAAACGATATAATTATCATAACACGACACAAAATGCAAAAAAAGATTTATATCGTTAGTTAAATATAAGTTCTGAGATGCAAAAAATGGAATGTATATAATGGCATTTAACAAATTTTTCGTATTTTGAAGTAAACATTTCAGGTTTAGATTTTTATTTAAAACTCTTATTTGTTCTATGTTACTTCTATGATGTCGAATCTCTCAAGCTTGTACATTATAAACATCGAATTTTGTTATAGAACAGATTCAATTATTCAATCAGTCGTAGAAGTAGATAAAGTTTATAAGACACTATTCAGCCTTGAAGTTATCTTATGGCTTTCAGATGTGCAATGATCTTGTATCTCATCCTAATTTATTAATGGAATTGCGAAAACGTTGATCAGGATAATTTCATCGAGTTAACAGTTAAATCCCTCAAAGTTAAATGAGATAATTTGAGATTAGAAAACATAAGTTAACATTACTAGTTAGTTGATAGAAATACTGATGAAACTACTACATTTTGTTCCGCTAAAGTAAATAATAAAATCAGTTAGGCGATGTATCCAACTTCTCCCTTTTAAGGTAATCTTACAATAACATTTCTCGGAAGGATTGTTTCGAATATGTTTAATTACGAGCGAGCTATCGTCTAGACAGAGTGGTATTAAAGCGAATCAACCAAGAATCTCATACATTCACGCGATTCTCCGCATGCTGAATATATCGTTGGCACGTTCGTACCGTACGGTATCGAATACCTTGTACCGGTCGGGAACTACCTGAAAGCGTAGCATACCACGGTTCTCAAAGCGAATAATGAGTAAATTTAGAGATAACCGAAAGTTTCGCGTTCGACCTAATCGCCTAGCCGCAATTAGTTCCGAACAAAAAGTGGCGAAGCCGCGTAGCACGCCCGAAATCCGAGAGCTTCTTCGAAGAAGAAAGCTTTAAGTCTCGGTATATCCGAAATCGAGACACTGATTGACAGCAGAGCGATGCAAAAATTTATCGGAGGAATTTATCCATCCGTTGAAATTAAATTCACAAATTCACTTTTATACGGTGTGACATGTATAAAAATAAAATAAAACGCCAATAATAGAGTGAAGCAACACAACAAGGGTGTAAATCGTATCTTCATGTAAGGTTTAAAGCTTCAAAGCGTTTAACACGTCGCAACACACAATACAATCGATTTATTCATACTCCGGGGCTGAATGTATTCCGGCCTTTTCATGTACGTATATACATGACGCGTTGTCCGTATAAATATCGAAAACACGTATTCGCACCCAGTTAGAGTGCTTTACGCGTAATTTGCGAGTTTGGGAGTTCATACCGCGAGATGCCATCGATCGAAAAAAAAAAAAAAAAAATGTGCGGAATCTAGGAGCTGGGCAAACGAGCAACCAAACCCGAGATGGTACGTGCTACACGTTCGGGCTGTT